ACACAGTGAAGAAGAGGATTAACTTAGATTTTGTCCAATGCTACGCTATCTTCTTCTGGTACAAATCTGAAATGATTCAGTTCCATTCATGGTAATGTGTATATATAATGTGATACACTATAGATATTTGTTGGGATATATATATATATGCATGTGTGAATGCAAGGATTTATGTGTATTTTTTTCTAAAAAGCAAATACTTTATAAATACTAGTCACTAGGTGATTGATAATGTGCTTCTAAGCTCAGTTTATTTATTTCCAGATCTCATACTTCACAAACAATTAGCAAGTCAATTAACACATTAATAGATTTTTAATTACAGCCTATCTCAAACTGTGACCATCCCTCCCTTAGAGACTGATCCAAATCATACATCTCATTTTATTATAGTTTTTACAGTCTGTTCCATTTAATTTCTGATAAGAAAGCAATAATTAATAATTTGTGTTACAAGGTTCTAACTTTATTTTTGGCATAAAAATAGCCCAACAAAATAGGCCCTAGAATGAATAGCATGTTGAATTTCATCAAAGAATGTTGCAATTAAGCACAAAATGCTAGACTGAATTATTGTGTTTAATCAAAGTTTTTAAATCACCTAAACTAAGATAAGTGTGTTTTGTTATAAATACTCGAAGACAAAGCTTAATATAAAGATTTACTGATGCTGGAGTAAAAAAAAAAACTGTATAGAAAGGAAATAAATAATTATGAAATGGAAATCCTAAAGATCAAAACTGCAAAAGTCTCAAAATTTTGATACTCCTAGAAAAGTAAGATAGTAATGCTAAATACACATCACTAATGTGCCATCTTCCAACATGAGTTTGTTCCTTCATTTTTTTTTAAGTAGCTCTCATTCTGCCCTACATCAATATCAATATTGTATAATCCCATTTTGGCATATCAGGCACTATCATCATCTTTCCTTTGTGTTCCTCATGGAATATAGGGCCTCAGTAAAAACAGTCGGTCTCTTGCTAGTTTTTAATGGCTTCCCAGCTCTTTCCTGTATATCAGGCACTATACCACAGTTAAATATTTCATTGTCACTGTATCCATAGCTTATTTGTCTACTTTCTGTCTGCAGCAACCTATGAAAGCTCCTGCAGCAGTTGCCACTGTAGTCACAGGAGAAAGTGTTTTCCATAAGGTATGCATATTTTTTGTCAACTTTGATCGTACTCACTTTTGACTTGAATGATCATAAAACAAATCTAGGCCCTTATGTGAAGGTTTTAACATTCAAATGTCTCATTTTATTTTTCAGGATCAATATTATCAAATAGGGGATGTAGTCTCATTGGTTGACCATGATGGAGGGGTGTACTATGCTCAACTGCGGGGATTCCTCTCTGATCAGTATAATGAAAAAAGTGCTGTGATCACATGGTTGCTGCCCACTACAAATTCACCACCAAATAGATTTGATCCCAACTCTTTCATTTTAGGTAATCTAAAACTGCCAAACTTACATTCATTTTTTTAATGAGATTATCAAGAAAATAATTGAAACATATTACAAATATACTAAGTAGTCACAATTGAACCAGTTAGGCTGATAGCTAGTGAAACCCTTGTGTTCCCATACTTGTATTGGGACTGAGCTCATCCAAGTCCTTTTAACTTACAGCACCATTCATTCTAAGCAGCTGGTTGTCTCTCTTCCAAGTCCTTTTAACTTACAGCACCATTCATTCTAAGCAGCTGGTTGTCTCTCTTCCAAGTTCTTTTAACTTACAGCACCATTCATTCTAAGCAGCTGGTTGTCTATCTTCCAAGTCCTTTTAACTTACAGCACCATTCATTCTAAGCAGCTGGTTGTCTATCTTCCAAGTCCTTTTAACTTACAGCACCATTCATTCTAAGCAGCTGGTTGTCTCTCTTCCAAGTTCTTTTAACTTACAGCACCATTCATTCTAAGCAGCTGGTTGTCTATCTTCCAAGTCCTTTTAACTTACAGCACCATTCATTCTAATCAGTTGGTTGTCTATCTTCTCATCCTCATCACATACCAAAGTAAAGAAAAATGCATTTTTATCTTTGAATATTTGCTTCTTTCTTCCTTTTGTCAATAAGAAGGTTGCACCATGTCACATTCATATAATCCTTAGAGCAATTGAGAAGAAAAAAAACAACCAAGCGTCTATGTTGCCTCTCACTTTGCTTGTTAATATAAACATCTTTAAAAGTTTACTTGTTCTAATTCAGTGTTTTCCAAACTGTGTCCTGCGGAATACGAGGCCTGAATATGTGTTCCACAAACTACTGGAATAATTATCTAGTAGGCCACTACATTAATTAATCTCTCTAATAAGTGAAATATAAAAAATCCTTTAAAAAAAAAAACTAAGCTTGTCTAAGGGAAAGAGCTCCACACTTACAACTTATATATCTCTCACTAATGCAGAATTTATTTCCCTTATGCAATATCGAACAAAATAAACAATTACCAATAATCAATAATTGGTTATTTTTTAATTAATTTATAATTTGTTAGGTACAATAAATAATTGTTTGAAGTATAATCTTGATTCCAAAATGGGTGTGGAAGAAATAATGTGTTTAATTTATCAATTTACTAACATCTAGGTTCACACAACACTTGTGCAAGAGTGTTGTTCATCAATTTCTCATCCATTTTCAACGTAATCTCAATCCATATCCTTATTGAAAAAAATGAAAGTAATGAAGATAAGTCCATATATAATTCTCTCTATGTGCTAAGAGAATAAGTGTGAACAGCACATACACATATTGTCAATACAGGAGCACCCCATGGGGGCCATGACATGTTAACAAGGGAACTCTTTTTAATCTCCCTCAAAGACCCAAAGTTGTGGAAGGGGCATTCACTTTTAAAATTTGCTCCTACTAACTGTTTCATAAATTATCCTGAATTAAATTGTCATTGAAAGAATTTTTTGTTGTTTTCAGGCCCAGAAGAAGACTTACCTCGGAAGTTAGATTTCATGGAGTTTGTGTGTCACGCCCCGTCAGACTATTTCAGATCTCGAGATTCTCCATATAAAACATTTGACCCCGAACCTAAACTTTGTTACATCTGGACCTCTATAGGCCCTCGCATCACAACAGTGCCCTCGATAGATGAAATATTTGGTGTCAGTGATATCGGGTCATTAGACAGTAGTAGTGTCAAACTGAAAGGTGAAAAAGATAAATTGAAAGACCGTCCTGGCTATCGGGAGAAAGACAGATTAGAGAAACGTGCAATCAAAGTGGAATCAGACGAATAAGTCTGTGACTGCCATAGGATACTATTGACACATTTGATGTGTGTAGGCATGATCTACATCCATCAAACCATCGTGTGACTACTGTACATACCACATGACAGCTCTATATACACTGTGAATATAATATACATCACTCCACAAAGAACAAAATCTAAACCACACTTTTAACCTGCTTTGCTTTGTGAGACTTTCCATTTGAAATTCATCATTGTTAAATGCATTGTTACCTTCAAAACTGTAAATCAGTGAATGTTATATTCTCTCTTACCAGCAAGTGTTCATCCAGCCACTTGTAAGGTATGTTTAAATATACACTGCTATGGTGATCATGGGACCTATTTATTTAGGTTACATAGGAAATTTTCTACTACTGTTTTTAATCATCAAAATATTGTTATTATGATTTTAGATTTTATTTTTATCAGATCATCAATGTCAATGTGGTCTAATTGCCGTATGGTCAAAGGAAATATTTTTAACACTGCAAAGTTTATTTAAGGAAAATAAATATTGGTTTGCAAACAAAAATAAAGTTTACATTTTTAAAATCATTTATATCTATTGTGTTTTAATGTTGTAACAATTGTTATTGATTGTGTGTGTAGCACATCCCTATGCTTCTAGTCTCTCTGGTCCATTCTCTTTTTAGTGTAATGTGGGTGTAAGGAATACTTAAGGGAAGGTTTCTGTGCCATCAATGACTCAGTAAGATCTGGGCATATTTTCAATTGTGACTAGAGATTTAAGCCTGAGTCTCTCAGCCAAGCTGTCACACAGCCTACAATGTGTTTTCTAGGAATTCAAGTCTGTGGGGGGCTACCTGTTAGTTATTATCTCTCAATAGGTTCTGTACTACAAAGTAAACATCTTCAGCTGTGTTTAGTGTTTAACACTTGACGTATCTGTGTTTAGTGTCTAACACTTGACGTATCTAGCTGTGTTTAGTGTTTAACACTTTGCTAGTAGCTGTAACTATTTTTTTTTAAATTGTATAAGAGAATGAACTCGAGGACCAATCCAAAAGTGTTTGGCCATCAGTTACTTCAACATTTCTCCATATTCTGATGGAGTGATTCTAACTTGTTTTATGTATTCATGATTTAACTCTCTCATAAAGTCTTGTGTACAGAACAGAAATGTAGAAGAATGTCAACTGTTTTTGTGACAACTTCTATCAAGTTTCAACTTTTCATATTGAATGATGCAGTTCATCTACAAATCAGTGGACAGTAAATCAATGACACTTATCTTGTAGTGGCCAGTAAGTCAATTACACTATCTTGTAGTTGCCAGTAAGTCAATTACACTATCTTGTAATAAACAGTTGGTCAATGACAATATTGTGTAGGCCACACTTACACATTAAACCTGGCTTGAAAGTTTATTTTAATTTGGTGCCAGATATTTGAAATGCTAGTTATCTGAGATGGACATTGCAGAATAGTAATACAGCAGAATGTCTAGCTCCTTTACAAGTTCTGATTAATTGGACTCTAGAGATAAGCAGAATATCTTTTTTATTTGTATAGAGTGGATGTGAATCTTATCAATTTTAACTGATTAAGCAAATAAAGTAATGAATGTAGTATGAAAATTAAAATGATTCTTCTGTAATATAATCAGTTGAATCAGTGAACTAATGTACTTGGTTCTGGTGTTAAGTCTGTTATTGTTTAGTTCTACTTTAAGTCTTTCCCCCAACGCATGTACACTAGTTACTCCAAGAAAATTAATTTCAGACTGAGCTTTTACATTCTTTTATTATTGATAACATTGTAACACTCTTCAATCAACAAATGACATTTTTTTCAACAGTGTCCAAAATATTAAAACATCAATGTAACAAGTGCAGACAACCATGAACTATTTGCTTCTGCTCTACAAATGTTCACATACAAACCATTTGAAGCAGACCCATCAGAATGTTTCTTTGAATAACTTCAACAATCTACATGACCAGAAACATTTATTTACAAAACAACATTAAGGAAGAAGAAAAAAAAAGAAATTGCTTTTTAAAGTCAAGATCAAAAATAATTCAAGACATTCCAGCTATGACATGGCAGTCTCACATTTCTAATACAATTATATTAATTATCTATGTTCTTATGTTGGTTTTTGCTATAAGACATAATTATAAACATGTTCATTTTTCAAAATAACAACCCAATCTTCTTCTTCGTTCAACAACCCAATCTTCTTCTTCGTTCAACAACCCAATGAAATGATAATAATAAGGCAATGTCTTTAACTCCAAAGATAAATGATGAGTACAGTAGATCACATGGCCATGCAAACCAAAGCAATGAATAAGTTTCAAATTTGTAATAACTTGAACCCAAACCAAGTATTCTGGACATTTGATTCAAAACACACAAATAAATGACATGTATTTTACTTTGAAGAACCAAATATTTGAAAGATGTCCTAGTGACAATATATTTTACTTTGCAGAACCAAATATTTGAAAGATGTCCTAGTGACAATGAATGACATGTATTTTACTTTGCAGAACCAAATATTTGAAAGATGTCCTAGTGACAATGAATGACATGTATTTTACTTTGAAGAACCAAATATTTGAAAGATGTCCTAGTGACAATGAATGACATGTATTTTACTTTGAAGAACCAAATATTTGAAAGATGTCCTAGTGACAATGAATGACATGTATTTTACTTTGAAGAAGCAAATATTTGAAAGATGTCCTAGTGACAATGAATGACATGTATTTTACTTTGAAGAAGCAAATATTTGAAAGATGTCCTAGTGACAATGAATGACATGTATTTTACTTTGAAGAAGCAAATATTTGAAAGATGTCCTAGTGACAATGAATGACATGTATTTTACTTTGAAGAAGCAAATATTTGAAAGATGTCCTAGTGACAATGAATGACATGTATTTTACTTTGAAGAAGCAAATATTTGAAAGTTGTACTAGTGACAATAAATAATGATGATCCACTTGCTCCCAACATTGAAAAAAAAAAGGAAATTAAAATTGCTTGTGGACCTAGAAAGTTAATTTTTCGTAAGTGTGTGAGAAATAACTGACATGCTTTTGAGTTGGATACAATGGTGAACTGTTCCACTAATTACAGTGTTTGCTTTTTAGTGCCGAAACCCATTACTAAATTATATCTCAAAGAAGCTTTGATTTGAAAGAGTTCCTCCTACTGTTTGCATTGTTCAAACGTTGGCAAAAATAATCTTCATAACTTTATTGTAAAAATCTTTCTTTGCATTTAGTGCTCTGCCTTTTCAAACCAGTATTTGTATTCATCTGAGTTCAACTCATTGTCATTCTTTGGAGGTGTTCAAAATACTTTTTACTTGGATCAACTGTTCAAACTTTAAGTAATCTCAAGATTTTGACCATGGTAGATTTTAATATCTAAACCATGTTTTTAAAATGACTTTTTTTTCTTCTGATATTTGTATAGCACTAAAAAAAAACACGAAGACAATAAAATGGAACTCAAAGGTATTAAATAAAACAAACCTCAAAGGTATTAAATAAAACAAACCTCTAAGGTATTAAATAAAACAAACCTCTAAGGTTAGCTTCATAACTTTTCTACAATGTATTTCATTCTTTAGTGAAGAGGAAGTACCAGTTGTTGTTTCAATGATGCTGTCAAATTTTAAATAGCTTGAACTACTCAAATGTTACAAAATTATAAAGAAGGTATATTAATGGAAGTGATTAATATTTAAAGTGCACCTATACCAATAGAAACGTTTCAATACAAATTATAATTATAGTGCAAATCCAGGTCATAGTGCATTGTTTACATTTGGATTTACAATGCCGAAAGTCAATCCCTCCAGCAACTTTTACAATTTCTAATGAAGCCTGTTAGTTGTAGCCAAGAATAATTAATTTTATTAATCATGAAATGGTGGCAAATTGTATACAAGCATTACTAAAACAGAATTTTTATTAAAAAAAAAGGGGGGGGGGGATGTAAATTCTTTAAAACCATGGATTAAATTTTAAGCATTGATGTTTTTTCATTCTGTTCTACTTGAAGACACTCTCAAATAGCATGTGCAGCATTTTAAAACATTTTCTTGTGTGTTTATAAAGTGCTTCCCATCAAGAGAATCAACTAAGGTCTAGAGGAATGTCTAAGAAGAGGATTACAGGAAACTGAAAGGCAACAGTACATATATATTTATACAAGAAAATGAACCATTTTGGGCAATGAAATTATTGTCTGCTATCTGAATGCAACAGTTGGCAGCTAACATTAGTGCAGTAGGAATACATTAGTTAAGTAGGAATAAATATTCAAAGACACACTTTAAACATTTGTTGTTGCTTAAAGCACTAATGTCAATAGATATTAACTGGTGCATCTCACCAGCCCTAATGATAAATAGTTAAAACACACACAGAATTCATGCAACTCTGATTATCTAGGTCATGCAGACACATCTCATGATGGGCAAAAACATGCACAGAGTTCTCATCAAGTAACCCTCAACTTTCTGCTAGTCTATTGATTTGAACTTCACTTTGAAATATTTACATGAATGCATTTTCATTTCTAGAATTTCACTCTGAGATTCAGGAATTTTGATCAGTTTCATGCTGAGTTGTACCTGCAACCTCAAAAGGTTTTCTACCACCAGATAATAAGTAAGGAGGTGGCAGGTCACCTGGTTTGGAGAGGGGCAGTGGTTGGATCATGTCTGTATTTTTTGGGACGTTGACAGATAGCTGGCCCTCCTCTGCCAGCCTCTTCCTTCGTACTATGAAAAAATACTTGAGAGACTCATAGGAACTGATCATGATGGCACAACTTGGGGCTACTTTCAAAAGTCTGGGGATCAAACCTGAAATGAAAATAGATGTTCTCTTTTCTGAATGAACCCTTGTACATGATACTAAGACATTTTTTTAGACTTAAACAATGTTAATAACAAAATATATATATATACAGAGAAGCCTACATGCTAAAATGGAAATGTGTATTTTGAGGGGCATTTTCCTAAATACAAAAAAAAAATATGAGGGAAAGACTAAAATCATTTAAGCATGAAACATACAAGAAATGCCACAATCCTAAAAAATAAACACAATATAAGTTATATAAGACATCCTGTACATTTGTCAAAATATTTACACTTTTCTAGAATATGTTAGAATGATGCCGTTCTTGTCACTTGGTGATGATTTTATGATCAAAATGGTTCCATAATAGCATTAATAGAAAATTCATTTAAAAGAATGAGAATTTTTTGTTAGAAGTGAAATTAGACTTAAACCAGATGTAATGGTTTGCTTGGCAATTTTATAAAAGTATTTTTGTTTATATGGCAAATTCTTTACAGCTGACACTGGAGATATTTTATCCCACTTTAAAAGATTTCAGATTTTCTTCTTTCAAACCATTTCTTACAGAATCAACATGAAAGCTTTGGCATTCTCTTACTTACTTAATCCTGTGTACTCCCAGGGGAGCATAGGACCGCAACCACACCTCTCCACCAAACTCGGTTCTGAGCAGCTTTCTTCATCTGCTCCCATGTCATTCCAGTACCCTTAGCTTCACTGATGACTGACCTCTTCCAGGTTTGCTTGGGTCTGCCCACTTTTCTCTTTCCTTGTGGGTTCCAGTCAAGTGCCTGACTTGCAACATTGGTAGCTCGTTTTCGCAGGGTGTGTCCTATCCAACTCCATTTTCATTTTGTGATGTATTGGGCTATTGGCTTTGTCTAGTTCTCTCCCACAAATCGATAGTAGTTATCTTTTCTGGCCACCTAATTCCTAATATACGGCATATCCATTTTAAAAGATTTCAGATTTTCTTCTTTCAAACCATTTCTTACAGAATCAACATGAAAGCTTTGGCATCCTCTACAATCACTAAAAACAAATATTTGTAAGATTTTTATTCAGACAGATAATCCTAATAGGGAGTGAACTTGTTTTTACTATAGAAGCTGGACTATTGAGGCTGCTGAATAGATAAACTCTCTAGCTGTTGTAAGATATTATTCTGGATTCTAAGGCTTGAAGTTGTTTTAGAAAACAGATGTGTTGAAGAATTCAATCATTTTTTTCTCCATAAGAAAAAAGTTTTTCTTTTGAAAACACACTCAGCCTTGAATGTCCCTGATTTCATTCTTTGAATTTATATTTTTAAAAGTAATGCAACATAGTTATGCCATAAGTGACTCTAACACAGAAAATACTTTCTGCAATTTTAGAGCCATGGAATATCAGTTTGGTGCCTTTGACATGCTAAGATAGAGATTAAGCTCACCCACCATTTCTGCCAATAAAACCTCTGCACTTCTCACTTTCACCTCAAAAGAACTCTCTCCTGAATTTGGTGGTTTACAAAAAATCAAATCTATATTTACAGGCAGCTTCATTAACAGTTGCTTAGTTTTAATGAGCATGGGCTTTTTAAAGGTATTTTAACAATAACATGGAATCTAACGATCCTGAATGTGAAATACTAGATCCAGATCTATCTAAAATTAGAACAGCCAATTTTGCCCCTTTTTTTTAAATTTTAGATTCGATAAAAGATAACAAAGGAGATCAATAGATCCTAGAGCCCTAGAGCTACTAGACCTAGTCAGTAATCTAAATCTATAATTAGATCTACTTTGAATTTTGATCTACATTATTTCTAGATCTAAGTCTAGTACACATCTGGTCACATCTTGAATCTAGACTAGATTAGTAGATCTAGACTGAATCTAGATTTAGATCTATTTATATATTATTTCTAGATGCAGAATTGTGTAAATTTGTGGTGCTTGACATCCTAAAACACAATACTGCATCCATAAAAAAACAATGAATTAGAACTAAACAATCAATTAATTCTCAATCAGTTTGTAAACTTGAAATAATCTGACACTTTGAAAGGAACTCTTCTTTTGGCACCTAAGATGAACTCCAATTGGTAGCAAGGCTTTATTTGCACCAGCAAGATCTAGAGTCTAGTAAGTATTTTAAATTTTCATGTGTTTGCAGGCAAAAAAACTAAAGATACAATCCTGTAGTATATGTAATAAGACAAGTCCATTTTGAGGTATTGACGCACCGATCTACATTTTATATATGATAAACTACAACTTGTTTGTTTATTTACTTTTGCTGCAGAAATACGTAATTTTAGATGATAAACAATACTCTTGTATTTCTGTGTTCAATATGCAAGATGCATACTTTTAGGCAACTTGTGTGTGTGTATATATATAAAATATATATATATATATGTAAAGTTCTTTAAACTTGGTACTAAATTAAATAAATATACCATGACAACAAATGAAATTAATGATTACTAATGTTCGGTACTAAGAAATTCTTGACTACAAATGAGCTAAGAAAACAATAATCACATGTAATTAAGTCAGATACAAAACAAACCTGTGTAAAGAGCACGAAAACCTTC